AGAGCGGGAAAAAAAGGAGATAAAGGTAGGGTGCCATCGTTGATAGGGAAGAAAAAAAAGTCCTGAGAGAAATTAAATAGAGAATTGCCTGCAGAATCAGAGCGATTGCAGCCCCAGGAGATGTGGTGTGCGTTGAAGTCACCTGTGATGATGATTTGGGAGGAGGGGGGAAGGAGTTGAAAAAGCCTTCCCAAAGAAGAGGATCCGAGCGAATAGGATGTCTGTAAATGGAAATAATGAGAATATCGTTGAGCGAGGAGGGAATTTTGATTCCCACTGCCTCGAGAACCCCATCTGGGGATAAGATGGAGTCAAGCTTGGTAAAAGGAATGGAATTCTTGATAGCCAGCAGGACGCCCCCAGACCTGTTGGAGGGTCCGTCTTTCCGTAATGTGTTGTAATTATTTAAAGAAAAGGATTTGTCCGGCGAGAGCCAAGTTTCAGATAGGGCAAGGATGTCGTATTGACTTCCAATTTGAAGGAGAGTATCCCTTTTGTTTAGAATGCCATGACAGTTCCATTTGAATAGGGAGAAGTCGTTGTAGATACGGTTGCTAGTCATTTACGGAGGAGGAAGAGGGACCGATAACCGGATTAACAGTGAAGGCGTGGAGGAATTGGATAACTGAAGGGATGGCATCGGACCAGTTAATGGAAGAAAACAAAGGAGAAAGTTGTGAAAGAAGGGGAGTGATAAGAAGAAAAGCCTCATGGAGAGTTGTAGGGTTAGAGGAGGATTTGGAGTTAGCGGAAAAGTTGAGAGAAGGAGACGAGATAGGAGAGGGGGAAGTAGAGAAAGAGACATTTGAGCGAGGCAGTTTTTGAGAGCGAGAAGAGCTGGAGAGTTGTTTGAGTTGTTTAAGCTGGGGAAGGGAAACAGATTTAAGTTTCGAATTGTGGGTTAAATTAGAAAGAGGGATAGGCTGCGATTTAAGGCTAGAAGAGAGGTAATTAGAAGCGTTAGCATAAGAAATGGGGGGGAGGTGAAAGTAGAAGAGGAAGGATGCGAGTAGGGGTTATGGTGAGGGGGATGAGCTTTGGGATGAGCAGAGGGTAGATTGGGGAAATCTTCAGAGGACGAGGAGTAGGGCGGAGGGGATTTGTTACCTTTGAAGATCTCTTTCGCGTCTAACAAAGAAACGTTTCTGTAAGCTGCGTATTTCCTAATCTCCTTCTGTATAGAGAGTTCCGGGCAGTGAGGAGAGTCTGCTCTGTGTTCTCCCTGGCAGTTCACGCAGTTTGGAAGGTTTTGAGCTCGTTGACATTTATCCTTGGAATAGGTGTGTCCTTTGTCACCGCAGTGTGCACAGCGTGGCTGACTTTTGCAGTTGTTTTGAATATGTCCAAATCTAAAACATTGATTGCATCGTGAAACTCTTGCTATATATGGAGACACGGGGTACCTGACATAAAACATGAAGACGTGGTTTGGAATCTTTTGTCCCTCAAAGGTGAGCGAGACAGAAAGAGAAGGCACGTAAGTGATGGATGGGTGTGAATCTTCTAGAGAATCCATGTGAGAGGCTGTTGTGGTTCTCCGATTCATTCTACTGACAGCAACAACCTTGATGGGACTTGTGATGTTACTTAAAATCATTTGCTCAGAGAGATCCTGTGGAACGTCTCTGATAATGCCTTTCCTAGAAGTGCGGTAGGGAAGAATGAATGCTTCTAGGTCTTTAAGAATGAGTCTCTTGTCTTCTATTAAGGCGTTGGCAGCCTCTCTGGTTTTGAAAAATACCGAGACTTTTGAGTATCCTATTTTCTTTATTTCCATGATCTCTTTTACGTTGAGCTCGCATATGACTCTTCCCACAAAGGTGGGATGTAGCGAAGACTTTGAGTTAGAGTGGCGTTGAATGTGAACGTCAAAGGGTCCGGCGTTACTGGCCGAATATCGGTTGTCACGGATGCTGTCCGAAAGAGAGATAGAAGATCCAGAGGCTGGACCATGAAGTGAGTTAATGCTGCTTTCGGTACTTGAACGCAGGTTCTTGATGGAAAAGAATGGCAATTCTTTCTCACTGAGTCGTTTGGCGCATATTTTAGCACGTGAATCAGGCGTGGTACCGGCTTCAGAGATTAATGCCTCAAGACCGGCAGCCACGCGGGAGTCGTCTACATCTACGTCCATAGTCAATCTTGTGGATAGAATGAGAGCTTACTTACAAAAGGTGGTGAATTCCCGCGTAGATCGTAGAAAACCCTTCCTCCAGGGGAAGGGAAAGAAGGTAGGAAAGGTCTACAGGAAAAGGCGGGAAAGAGGAGAGATAAGATTTTTCCGTTGAGAGAAAACAAAGGAGGCACAATGGCCGAAGCCTCGACGAGAAGCGTAGTAGTGGCCGGTATCGATATTGGACTAATATCGGTTCAATCGTTGAAGGACCGCCAATAATTCAGTATTCCAGAGGAAGCGCACGATAAGGGGCGTCTATGCTTATGCACTTGACACACGAGATAGCCCAGAAATGGGCTGATTTAACAATTTGGTATGAGGCATTCGAAAACACGTCTGTCTACAAACGGCACCAAGATGGCGGTCCTCACGTGAAACAACAAGTGCATTGATTGTCCCTCAGCGCGCTTCCCTCACTCCGCGCGCTTTGCAGCGTCACGATTAGAGCGTACACATCGAGCCACCACGCGCACCATTGCCCCGCATTTCAGCAAAGAAAATCGACTCTGTTTGTGTTTTAGATACACGACGAATCGTTCTTTCTATCTATACAAGGTCGTGTTGTTCATATACGTGACGTGAAATATTATAGAAGAAAGCGTTATTCATCGATCATAGAGACTGATGATGTAAAAAACAGACATATTGCCATGTAGTTTGTCTGTTTCTGCGACATGAGGCTGCGAACACATTATTGTACCTGCGATAGCTTGTGGTATGTATATAGCATTAATTTAGAAACTACTTGTTATTCTGAATGCGGTCAATGCAACTGTTATGCCTCCGGAAAGGCACGGTAGTTAGGATCGTTTGCCGGAAGGAATTTGGGAATTTGGGCTCCGCCCGAGTAACTCACTGATTTTATTATAAATAAAATGACACCTTTGTATTATTCGTCTGTTTTATTCGTAACTTGGCTTAACTACAAAGTTCACGCACGTCACTCGCGTCGCGTATCGCGATAACGGATACGGCGTGCGCCGCGTGTCTGGAGTCGAGTTTCGGTCGCGAGAT